AGAATGAAGGAGTGAATAGGAATGTTAAAATTTAACACCGCCTTGTTCGCGTGCAAGGCCAAGTTGGTGGTGGTACTACTGGCACAGTTGTCGGATACTCATACAGACCTTCCTATCAAGGACCTTATCCATTATAGCAGGCCCATTTGGTGTGATATATCTGCCGCATTTTAAATTATAAAATATTTATAGAAAAAAATTTTATATATCAATAAAATTCATTAAATATATTTTATAATTTTTTAAAAAAAAATATAAACGCTTAAAAACATCCTTCATTAAATATGATAAAAAAAATTGAAGAAAAAAATATATGACAAAAGAGAATATTGAAAAAGTATCATTAATGAAATATTTTTATCAAATATTTTATATTTTGAAATGCTAATTTCTTAAAAATATCTTATAATTTAAAACGGAGGGAGTAGTATCTATCAATGTTTTCCAAACTGGGCTGGACATTGAACTAGAAAGGTCAATAGTTCACAATTCGCATGATTTAATCGGGTTGGATCAATGGTCAAACCAATGACGTAATAATTAAATTAAAAATTATATATGTTTATAATAATTAAATATAAGAATAAATATAAAATTGCTACTTAACTTAAAAAAAAAAAATATTTTAAGTTTATCATGACTTAACAAGTCACATAATATAACATAATATCAAATGATTAAAAAATCAGCCATTTTCCAAAAAAAATTTTGAATAATTCTATTCTTGAAAATCGGATCCAGTTTCCAATCCAACTGCCAATTCGAAATGGCCCAACCCGACTCAACATTCAAAACAATTTTCATATATTGATCAAATTAAACCGGTCCGGTTTTAAAATCACTGTTATACATGTCCTCCCGAATGGTTAATTAGATTATATGAATGTCAATAGTTTAAGATAAATTAACTTTAGACATCCATATAAATATCTGATGCTTATAATGAAATTGTTTTTTTATATATCGTACAAAATTTAAAATATAAGTCAATAGTGTGACTTGAAAGAGATTTTTTTTTATATATATATATATATAAACAATTGCCAAAAAACTCAAATACTAATGAACTAATTTCAATATATATTATATATTATATCACAAAATTATATTTAATCTTGTGACTTCCAAATAACATAAATCGATTGCACGCGTGATTTGTGAATAAAAGATTCAGATAGAAAAATGAAGGAAGCACAATGTACTATATATGGTGTAATTCGTAGTTTAAACACGAGATTTTTCAGTAGCTCAGAAACTTTGCACGTGGGCATTTAAACTTTCAATATAATTTTGAAAATAAGCCAACTAGACATTACTGTTATTTCATGGCCATAACATGAAGAACTTTGTCGGAGAATTCATGCAACTCAAACTTGCTAATTTGTCCATACAAAACTATTCTTTATTTGGATGATATCATGCTCGCTATTTATTTTGTCATCCACGAAGTATGAAGCTTCATAATCCACAAAACCATGGGCAATAAATTCAAAGTCGTCCTTGCATTAAAAGCGAGAACAACTTGTGTTCTGGAGGAGAAAGGAGGAGCTAAAGCTTAGTTTCGAGGAATCCAAATCAAAAACCAGAAGATTATCTTCCAATTGATGCCCACCAATTACGATTGAGGCTTGCACCGATGATTTTCTCGGTTTTGTCCCTCATCAACAGATCCCAGAAACGCCACATTATTCTCAGTCGTCGTTACCATTAAATTGGTCTCATGAATTGTCCATCTCACTCCCCCTTGAAGCTCTAAACCAATTAATCAACACTTGGCACCCGGATCCATTAATAATGCTTGAATCATAGCATGCAATGCAATGGGATGCATGTGCGGAGAAATCAAAGTGAGAATGAGTGAAAATCGGAGTCAAAGTGAAACAACGAAGCATCGTCCAGAGCAATGGTTGCCACTTGTCATGTTTAATTAATATCCTATCCACTAGGAGCAACTTGGGTTTGGTACCGTGGTACGGGTAAATGTGGTTCGTAATTGCAATCGCTTGGGAACCAAACTTTAGCAGCAGAAGCCATTGTGAGCAATGCTAATGCTTTCATGCTCTCAGTGACTATTTGAATTGGACCATAATGTTTCGGGCAAAAAAAAAAAAAAAGATATAGCCATTGGGATCATATATGTGTATATTGTTAAAATAAAGCGGTAAACAAGCCATATATTATATTCAACATTGATGCCGCAACGCGTTCGATGAGTACTCATTTGGGGAACGTGGTTAGTGGATTGGTTGAAACAAGGGTTAGTTGGAGGCGAACAATCATGGTTTGTGTTTGGGCCAAAAAGACAGGACGTGACTGTCGTTTCAAACTTATATCCATGCAGGTGAGGCTGTGCATGGGGTTCAATTCAAGCCCAGTGGCTTACGATACAAGTAGAGTTGCCCAGTTGTTTGTTGAATATGTGCGGGACCAACTTCAACTTGCTTCTGCTAACGAGCTATAGTATAGATGCATCATCATCATACATGCCCTTCCTTTAGTTAACTGTCTCCAACGACTAACTGATCGCATGTCTCCCATCAAATATTGAGACTTGAAAAGTAATATCTAGTCTTGAGTTCTCTCCTGTATGGTGTGGAAAATGCCTTGAGATTCTTCCTCTTAATAAAATGACAACTTCGCCATGCCTCTTATTATGTGATTCATATGACAAGTTCATGACTATCAAACATTGATTCGAGGAACCTGATCTCCCTTGTTAAAAAGAACTAACTTTTATGGTGTGTTTAGGTTAATGGGGGTTTGGATTTAAATTTAGTCCTGGGATATATAAAAATTTATAAATTTAGATATAAATCAAATTTATTTTTTATTATAATTTTTTTAATTTTAAATTCTCCCTTATCAATCATAGTCATTTAAAATTTTAATCACTCCAAATATTATATTTTCTTCATATTTTTACGGTCAATATTTCTATAATTCTTGTATCTTTTCTTATCTTTCATTTTCGTCTCTCATCAATTAAACAATAAAAGTAAACTTGTCATTTTCAGTTTGTTATTTTCATTTCAAATCTCAACTTATTTATTTTTTATTTGAAATTTTTTAAACTGTTTAAATAAAATATTTTAAATACATGAAATTTAAAATGAAAGATTTTAAAATTTAAATTCAAATATATCAACCCAATCGCTATCTTAAATAATTTAGTCGCACTCCTATGTGAGGGTGAAAATATTATTTTTATTTCCTAACTTATACGTAGGCGTGGCTCCCTTCTTTTTCATCGAATCCTCAAATTTTGCCACTTACACTTAGTTACTGGATTTAGATTGATTCTTTACTTTCTCTCAATTTGGTTCAACGGTGTGCTCATCATGTTGCAGCATCAAAGCTCGAAGAAAGCTACATATTCGACCTTGATGCTGCAGCACGATAAGTACTCATTTAGGGAACGTGGTAATATTTAATATAAGTACTTATAGTAAACATTAATATCAGGTCGCCAACCCCGAGTCCGTGACGTTCAGGCACTAACACAAACACGTGAAATTGAAGTTCAATTGTGCAGCATATGAATCAGTGCCAAGCTCTTGTTGAATTTACTTGTGCCCGATGAGGCGATGAATTCATTTATATAATGAAATACAAAATTCGAAATGGATATTAGGCGGTAGTGTCTCCTTGGTTGCCATTCTTGAAATTCAATGACAGCTTCATCCACAATCCACATGACCCTATCTGCTCGGAGTATTTTTATTCACGCACATCATATCCTTCATTACTGCTACTGGCAGTGCACCCCACACTCAACAACTCCACTCGCACCACATTAATGTCAAAGAAAAATTTTGCATCAAAAACCTATATAAGCAAGCCATGCCTTTCTTCTCCCCACAACACAACCTCCTCTTCCTTATTTCTACACCGCTTGTAATTGAAAGCTTACAGTCTCCATGGCTACTTCATTTCGCTGGCTTTTCCTTTCGTTCCTTGTCTGCTTTTTCATCTCTCCATCCATGCGGCAAACCTCTGGTCAACCCAATGCACTCGTTTTTCCTGCAACCAAAGATCTTTCCACATCCATTCCCCAGTGTGTTACTCAAAATCAAACAAAGAACACCATTAGTGCCGGTCAAGCTTACTGTGGATTCAAGTGGCAGCTGGCCTTGGGTGGATTGTGAACGAAACTATGTCTCTTCTACCTACAAGCTTCCTCCTTGTGACTCCCCCCAATGCTCACTTTTGTGGACAATTATCTGTGGAGGAGATAGATGCAGTAGCGTCCCTGAAAACACCATCGCCTCCAACCAGACATTCGGAGATCTCAGCAAAGATGTTATTTCTATTCAATCTACCAATGGCTTTAATCCCGGGAAAATGGTTACAACACCCAAGTTTGCTTTCCTTTGCGGATCAAAAACCTTAGTGGAAGGCCTTCCTCGCGGTGTCACAGGTATGCTGCTCTAGGTAGGTCTAGTCTATCACTTCCTTCTCAGTTTGCTTCAACTTTTGCTAGCCTTCCCAGGAAATTTGCCATTTGCTTGAGCTCATCAACTAGTGCCAAAGGCGCCATCTTTCTTGGCAATAGCCCTTATCATTTCTTACCCAACATTGATGTCTCGAAGACCCTCACTTACACCCCCCTTATTGCGAACCCTGAGAACACTGCCCCCGGCAAACCCTCATTTGAGTACTTCATTGGGGTAAATTCCGTCAGAATCGGAGGGAAAGGCGTGGCTTTGAATACAGCCCTTTTATCCATCAATAAACAAGGCTTCGGTGGAACCAAGATCAGCACCGTGAATCCTTACACTCTGATGGAGACCACCATCTACAAAGCGGTCAGTGAAGCATTTACCCAAGCACTTGGTGGCGGCATTCCAAAAGTCACACCCATACCGCCATTCTCGACATGCTTCGCTTCCAATGACATCGGGTTCTCGCGGATGGGACCAAACGTGCCTAAAATTGAGCTGGTGATGCAAAAAGAGAAAGTGGTGTGAAGCATCGCCGGGGCAAACTCGATGGTGCAGTCAAGAAATGGTGTGATTTGCTTAGGATTTGTGGATGCTGGTATCAACCTTAGCGCTTCTCTCGCGGGCTTTGTGGCTGGCTCTTCACATCCAAGGACTTCCATCACGACAGGAGCACATCAATTGGAGAACAATTTGCTGCAGTTTGATTTAGCAATGTCAAGGCTTGGGTTCAGCAATTCACCCTTGCCCAAGCAAACTAACTCTGGCAACTTCAACTTTACCACCACAATTTGATGGGTTATTGTCTTTTATTTTATTTCCTCCCCTGCAATTTTAAGAAATATCGGAAAGGTTTTTTTTTTTTTTAATGAAGATATATTTAAAGTCCACCTCGTGTTTTTTTCCCCACTGTTGTAGCAAGTTTTATGTAAGAGAAATAAAAGCGATCAACCAGCAAATTATCTTTCCTTTTTATTTTTTGTTTCCCCCCCTGAGTGACATTTCCCATCACTTTTTTACGGACCCAATTGTTTAAGCCTTTGAAAATAACCACAATACGAAAAGAAACAAATTTCTAATTATTTTAAAAAACCTACTTTGAATAATTTTTAGAAATAATCAAATATGCTAGGTAATAGAGAATATTATAAGATTGCAGAAATATACAAAAGTATAATAAAATTTTAAACTACTTAAATAATAAATATTTTCTATTATTGGAACCAAATACCAAATACTTTTTACTTTTTATAGTGTTTTATAAAATAAATAGTTTTTTATGATATATCTAAACTGTCTAGTTATTTTTAAAATTTGAAAAAAGGGCCCTTGATCAATTCCTCACTGCCTTGCGTTCCATAGCAGCAACACAATTACGCACCCGCATCATAGCTTCTCCCCTAACCTCATGGAAGTAACAATATTTTAATTAAGATTAATATTAAATAAGAAAATGAATTACTAAGCATAGATATAGTTATTGTTAAAAAAAAAAAAAAAAACTGAAACTCGAGCAACTCAACTAGTTGCGCCTATGCCAATAGCATATCACCTTAGCGGCAACACCACCTCTTGACTTGATCATGGCCTTCAAATCCTAGTAACCTACAATGTTATGCGTGGAACATATTTAGCATATTCTGCGAACTATTCTATTATGCTTAGATTTTAGAAGAAATCTACCGTGTTCCAATTGCCCTTTGAATGTCTAAGCACTTATCAATAATTGGATTAATTTTCAATTATTTTTCAATCCAACATAATCCACTATCCACAGGAGAATGTAATGTTGTACTTGAGACGCTAGTCCACAAGTTTATGCAAGAATAGAACTTCAAAGAACAAACTAATCTGTAAAGCTAAAGTGTTATGCCAAACAGAAAAATTAGTCGATACAAAATTTTTTATTAATTCACCATTAAAGATAAAACGTGATGTCACCAAAAGAAAAGGAAAAAAAAAACTCACCATTAAAGAATTCGGTCAAAACAAAAAATGTCACACGACAGAAGGGGAGAAAAATACCTTCACACACCTCAATAAAGAGATTAACATCTTCTAGGCTGCAAAAACAATGCTGCCAAGGCATACAACCAGTTTTTTCTCTTAGCCTTTAGAAATGAGTCATCTCTACTCATCTGTCACACATCCCCTGGATGCAGATTGTACGTTTTTGATGTACTGGAAACACAGAATTCAAGTTTGAAAGTTAAAACCCAGGGCATCACCAGATTTTTGCAAATATGTTGATTGCATTTCGCTATCGACACGGTGTTGGATTGTTTTCTTTCGTAAATTTCAAAAATTCAGGTCTTATTTTAGAGAGTAGTTTCAATCACATCCCTCTTGAGACGATTCATAGGTTCATCATAAATGTCTAACTGAGCTGTTAATAATGCCATCATGTCCTTTCCATCGAATGAGTCGCTAGTAATTGACACGATACTTTAAAGATAGTCTAAGGAGGGATGAAAAAGAATACACTCAACTTGGAGGACTCAATGGTAACAATTGGAAATAAAGGGGCAAAAGCACAAACTAGAAGTACATAAATTGCCTTCAGAAAAAGAGAGAGAAAATAAATTATTCAGATCTCATACCTTGTACAAAACTCCTTGGTTGGCTTTGTATGCAGGGGCGGTCCATTTCGTCCTTCGCGCCTCCATCTCCTCGTCTGTTACCAAAACATCAATTCTTCGTTTCTGAACGTCAATGTTGACTATGTCTCCATCTTGAATCAAGCCAATGGGACCACCTTCCTGTAAAAATTATTGCGCTTCTGTCAACCATCGAAAAATATTTTTTTACAGAAAATTTTAACAGTTGATACTTTCTTAAGTTAGAATAAACGAATAAATAAGCATGCCTAGCATTGAAATAATTGAAGGAAAGATTATGGCGCACATACGATGCATCAGATTTCCTTGTAAAATATCAAAGCAATACTAGAATAATTATAAACAAAAAGTGAATTTCACCTGCGCTTCAGGACATACGTGGCCGACCACAAACCCATGTGAACCTCCTGAAAACCTTCCATCAGTCAATAGCGCAACATCCTGCAGTATTACATGGCAACAGAGCATCGTCATACATACATTTGGCTCACAATATAGGGCAAAATATTTATTCCAAATCTAAAGAATTGTGATGTGTGTCTGAGGAAAATTAATGGAAAAATGAAAACTTTTTGGTCTAAAACAAAGATGGAGTTTGCTAACCTCCAGAAAACTAGTGTGGTAGTTAGCTACACACGCACACAAAAATATAATTAACAAGGAAATAAAGAGACCTTCCCAAGGCCAGCGCCCATTATTGCACTAGTCGGTGTTAACATCTCAGGCATGCCAGGACCACCCTTAGGTCCCTCTCCCCTGATCACAACCACTTTCCCCTAAAAAGATGATATATCACAAGGAAAAAATTAGATAAAATTTCAAATTTTAGATGCTAATACTAATACTGTACAGGGCAGTTAGAAGTTATCAACTTGAAAAAATGCAGAATAGATATAACTCCCCAAAGTAAATTATCAAGACAATCACAGGTGCAAGATTTTACAATGCATCAGGTGACAGCCATGGCAGTTAAAGTTCTATAATTACTTGCCATGAGTAGATGGAAATCAAAGTGATTAAACCTTGTCAATTTAATAAAATGGATTATAAAAGTTGGGTTTCATTCTAGGGTAGGAATCATAAACTTCAGTTCACAAGCCACTTGTAGAATTAAGTTTTTTAAGTTTACCAGCCTCTGCATGTGGAAGAAAGCAAACCAGAAAAAAAGAAATAAACAAGAAAACCCATAAGAAGTACCATGCTTTAAAAATGCCACTCCTTGAAATATGCTAAGGACTTGTGTGTTTACTAGATATAAAGGACATAGTGCAAATTCATCGGCCTCATAAACACTACTATGTCGCAGCAACTGTCCTTTGGAATAATTTCTGTGCCAGTTCTAGTAAAAACTGGATGCGTCCTTATATCGGACCAGTTTCTAATGAATTAACATGCCCTGGTAATGATAAGAAGGCTGAGATGTACTAGTTCACATTTGTTGTGGGATATGCCTTCATTCTTATGTTATGCCCATGGGTGTTTGTTGGAATATTTGCATTTATTGTAAATATTATGGTTTCAGCTGTAAATATTCTTAGGCTTTATTAGTTTTTATTATTATTTACTCATCTTGGTGCATAAATACCTAGTTGTATTCTAATATTCAGTATTAATGAGAAATATTTTTTCTCTCAATTCCATGGTGTTCTTAGGTGGTTTCCGCTAATCCATTCATAGATACGAGGCTCGTTTATTTAAGATTAAAAAATATAATTTTAAGATAGTTTAGAGATTTTATAATGAGGGATTATTTTGTAGAGTTTATAAAAAAGCAGACATTATTTTATATTTAGTTAAAATTATAAAAAAAAAGTGATTATTAGTTAGTTTTTTTATTTTACAACATTTCTTTATTTTTGTTTTCATAAAAATGATTTATTATTTAATTACTTTAAAATTTTATAATATCTTTGCATATACCACATCAGGTTATTTTCAAAAGCTATTCAAAATAACTTTTTAAAATAATCAGAAATCTGTTGTTTTTCGAATTCTAATTATTTTCAAAAGCTTAAGCAAGCATTATTAAAACTTACAAAATAGATTTTTTTATAAAATAAGTAATTTTTTCATAAAATAAGCTGAAACAAACAGGCCTATAAAGGTACACTGAATGGATTTACTGCAATGTCTGTTTGTTCCCGATTTTCAAGTTTGTCTTATCCTCCCCCGGGTACATTTCTCTTTTGTCCCAAGTTGCTTCCATTCAACAGTAATAGTTAAAATATTCTGAATCATACAAATTAGCTACTCACTCAATAAAAATACAAAAAATGTGAAGGCATCACTGTTACTCAAGACAGCAAAACATGTGTTCACAGCTCAAAGGATTTAACGTTGGATTAAAAAAGAGTAACACTAGATAATACAGAGCACTTATAGCTACATCCCTTTTCAGTAGTTCTTTTGTTAGATTATAGGCTAAATCGCCATTAAGTGTTTTGCAACAACAGCCAAGGCAACAGAAGAATTACCTTGAAGCTTGAAGGATTCTCTGAAATGGCAGCAATCATTGACTCCTCTCCTTCAAAAACAAGTGCTGGACCTGTTGAATGATCCCCCATGATTAATGAATCGCCATATGTAAAAAGACAATTAGCAACATGTTAAAATTTCAACATAAGCAAAAGAAGACCAAGATATCAAGAACATGCACCAGAAAAGTATAGCCCCTCTTTTCCAGTTATTTTAGCTACAGAACCCTCTGGTGCAAGATTCCCATATAAAATTTGAATGTGTGCTGTCTTCTTGATGGGATTTTCTACTGGCCTTATGATTTCCTGAATCATACAACACACAAGTTTGTAGCCTGACACTAACAGTAGATAAATGGGAAGCATTAAGATCAAGCACCAACAAAATCACACCTGCCCTTTCGCCAAAGGAAGGAAAGTTTCTGCATTTTCAGCTAGGGTCTTTCCAGTGACTAGAGAAAGTATCTCCAAGTTAATGAAATGTGCATTTCTTAAAAAATGAAACTACTCTTTTTTAATAATCAAATGCAAGAAAGATATACCAGTCATACAGTCCCCATCTAAAAATCCTTGCTCAAGAAGGTAGTGAATTACAGCAGGGGTCCCACCAACCTATAAAAACAAGTGTTTTAAGAGATGACTAACAATGTAGGCGCATCACCAGAAAATTGAATGAAAATAGGAAGACTAAATTTAGCATTCAGCATAGTACCTTGTGAACATCTTCCATGACATATTTGCCACTAGGCTTAAGATCAGCAAGAAAGGGAACCTCATCACTAACCTTCTGAAAATCATCAAGAGTCAAATCAATACCAACAGACCTGCCAAATCAAGATGTGAGGTTTTTTGTAGGATATGTATATATATATTAAAAAATATATTCTGGAACCAAACTTCATCCACCTTGCAATAGCAATTAAATGTAAGACTGCATTGGTAGATCCACCAAGTGCCATGACGATAACCATCGCATTACGTAGTGATTTGTGGGTGATAATGTCTCGGGGCTTCAAGTCCATCTTCAATAATTCAAGCAGATATTTCCCAGCTAAACGACACTCATCCAACTTCAGTGGATCCTCAGCAGGTGTGGAAGAGCTAAAGAAATTGGAAAGTTAAGAACATTTAAAAAAGGAAAAAAGAAAAACTTCATTGTGAACTAGCATACATATTACCTATAAGGAAGAGACATCCCCATAGCTTCAATTGCCGAAGCCATGGTATTGGCTGTATACATTCCACCACAAGCCCCAGCACCAGGGCATGAGTTGCGGATAACATTTTGCCTATGCTCATCACTGATAGATCCACTCACAAATTCTCCATAACACTGCAGATAAATGAAGAATCAGTAAAGTATGATTGCCAAAAGCTGCAATACTTGGATGATCAACTTTTAGCTGATTATACATAGTCAAAATATAAATTTCTTCATTAAAAATAACCAAATTTACAATCTTGTTGTAAAAGATGAAAACATTATTCCTGAGGAAGAACATAGAAACAGGATAGAATTCACAATCAATCAGATCAAAAAAGAATATCTTACAAATTTACAGAGGTATGGAAAAACTCTTGAGATTTTTCATTTTTCTTCACTTTTTACCCGTTCTTCGAGGATTCTCATTCTCCATTGTGAGTTTTTTATTTTTTATTTTTTTGTTATTCTGGACATCAATTAATAACTAAATTAGCTTTCTGCAGACGTCATTTAAATAAAGGGGGGAAAAGAAAGGATGTTTCATAGCAATGAGTTATTTACCTGAAAGGCAGATACTATGTCATATGCATTGCCCTGAAAGTGACCAGGCTGCAAAAGAAATAATGCATGTAAAAAAGTTATAAACTACATTCCAAGAAACACTTTACCATAATCATTAACAAAGATAAAAAGTTCAAAGCCGATTACCGAATTCTTAAACATGATTGGAACATACAACTATTAATAATTTGAAATTAAAATAACAGCTACTCCATTTGTTCAATCAGTTATCCCCTAAGACACCCATTTCAAAGTAATATAAGGGTTTCAAACTACAATAACATCCCCACAAATTATTGACAAAGGTCTACCATGTGCATAATTGATGTGACCAGCTTCAACCAAAGGAAGAAAATGCATAATAAAACCATACGATTGTCTAAAAGTTTGTGATATTATGTAACACCATTAATTTCAAGGATATCATAACCAATACCATTCTTATCAGCTATAAATTTACCAGGTAACATTGATCAGAAAAAAAAAACAAGCAAAGTTATTTTGAAAGACTTTTTCCTTTCGTTCAAATTCTAGTTAGTTCAAACTTTGTATCATGAATCTTGACATTGATCAGCACATATTTAAAGTTGTGTGATGAATTATATACTCTTAACAGACAATCAGCAAGGGCTTGACGAGGCTTGACAAACAATTATATCATTTTCAATTTATAATAGCCCTCTCAGCAGCCAAAGCCTTGTATCCTACCTTGATAGTGCCCCCATAAATCATTATACTTGGTCGGTTGAGCCGGCCCATTGCCATAATTGTACCTGGCATCTGAAAATATACAACATATCCTCAATTGCAAGAAAGCAGCAATCATACCACATAGCTAAATCTTGGAAATACATTGAGAAATTTGAGTCATGGTGAAACAAAGCAGACAGATCTATGGGAAACAACAACAAACTAAAGACACAAATTTATCACAACTTTACGGCAGCATTAGACCGTGGACTTAATAACTTTACATAAACATAATTAGACTAAATATGCTACGCAACAGAAATCTCAAGCGCTCGTAGATTATAGTCAACAGGCCAATATGCCTGAGTCAACAGTGAAGAAAGTATCATGAACGCAATTCCTCAGCATACACAGTAGAAAAGAAAATAAATTTTAAAAAGTCAGAACTAACAATATAATATATCTTACATTTTTATCGCAACCAGGGATGGAAATGTTTCCATCATACCACTGCGCACTCATGACAGTCTCAATGCTATCCGCGATGAGGTCCCTAGACTGCAAGCTATAGCACATACCTCTGGTCCCCATAGAAATGGCATCACTGACCCCAATTGTGTTGAACCTGAACCCGATCATGCCAGCCTCTTGCACCCCTTCTTTAACCGCTTCTGAAAGCCCCAAAAGGTGCATGTTGCAGGTGTTCCCCTCATACCACACCGATGATATACCAATTTGAGGCTTATCCATGTCATCTTCTGAAAGGCCCACCCCATGGAGCACTGCCTGAGATGCACCTTGCGACTTAGGCTCTGTTATACGGGAACTGTACTTGTTAAGCTTATGAGTTGGAGTGGATTTAGGTGGAGAGTCCACGGGAACAGGTGGTGACTGTACCGCCTCTGCTCTCACTGATAAGAGGTAGGGGAAAGCAGATTGACATCTACGAGGAGGTATCAGCCGCTTCGATTTACTTGGGGTTGCAGGCGAGAAGGGCATGAACAATGCGGACTGCATGGTTATTGCAAGCAATGCAAGAGCTGCAGGTGGAATCCAAGCCTTTTAGGGTTTATGACACACATAATATCTAAAAGAAAAAAGGGGGAAAAACACTTTTCCCCATCCAGCTCACGATCCTCGCTGCGGGCACATAAAAGTTCGAAATGGGGGTGTTCCACGTGCGATTTTTCATCTCAAAATACAGTATCATTCTTGTTTTTTATATTAGAAGGCCTGGACCTTTGCTTACTCAGACTGGGAACAAATATCCGACTGGATTTAACCAAAAAAAAAAAAAACCTCTCACAAAATCAAGCCAGACAAAGTCAGAAATATACACTGATTCAACACCGAGGCACATGAATATAAGTATTGACAAACATGGTCAGAACTTTAATCAAACATTTAAAATGCAATAAGTAAAGGAGCTAATAACCAAGGTTTTAAGACCCGGACCGACCCAGACGGTCGAATCGATCGGACCGTCGCCCGCTGAAGAAAACGAGCTGGTTCAACCAATTAACCCGGATTAGCAGTTGGCCCACCTAGAACCGGACGGTTTTTAAAGACTCGGGAAAAACCTGGAACCCGGAGCGGGTTTTACGGGTCAACAGCGGGTCGTAAAAAAAATGACAAAATTGATATTTTTAAAAATAAAAAACCCTTCTCCTCACTCTGTCTAGCAGACCAACACCTATAAGGACCCATTCTTCTTCTTTTTAGTCTCACTTCTCTCTCTCTCGCACAATGCACGCACTCATTCTCGTCACCTTCTCAAATCTCAGCCATCTGGGTTTTGTTCTATGTGTCATCTCCCTCAAGCCACTCAGTCTTCTGGGCTCTGTCTTCACCGTTCAGCCATCTTGGACTCGCCTTCTCAACCATTTTGGTTCTCTATTCACCCTTCGTTGTCTTCAACATTTAACTTTAACCATCTCAAACTCTCTCAAACTTCAAATGCTTCTTTATTCTTCATCTTCACTTCACTTTCTTCATTTTGGTTTGTGACTTCGTGTTCTTGGTTAATTCTAGTATAGGCATCCAGTTGTTAAAAACAGTCAGATGGCGTCAAGCTCGACCCCTTTCATGATTCTTCATCTTCTTTATTGATTGTTCTCTCTCTCTCTCTCTCAGTCCCGGTGAGATTTTCTTTCTCCCTCATTTATATCTCTACCCAATTTAATGTAATCTCTATGGTTCTAAATGGAGTAGAATGAATGCTAATAAATGAGCTTGCTTTTTATTATCTGAACTGTTTATTGCAAAATGAAGGATTGTTGAATGGATGAAGATGAATCTATTTTTTATTGTCTAAGAGTTGTTTATTGCAAATAAAAGTTTTATTTTTTTTTTCAAATGATTATGCCTAAATCCCAATGCATTCAAGAAGTTGTATTTGTTAACTTGTTTCTTTATATATATATATAAATAATTTTTTATTTAATTATTAGGTCACCGGTCCAATCGCCGGTCTGACCGATTGAACCATGAGACCCGTGACCCATTGATATTTCCGGTTCGCTGTCCGGTCCGGATTTTAAAACATTGCTGATAACTTTAATTCAATCCCAACCCCAAAGCCAAAGTATGCGCGTTAGACGAGGTGACAAATTTCAAAGGGATAATAACTAACTGGGATGGAGATGCTCGTTAGACTGAAGTGGGATGTAGTTGTGGAAGCAGTAACAATGCTTAACCTCTACAGTCTACAAACGAAGGCACACACGTCCCCCTACTTTTGAGAAGTGGCGACGGTAGCCAAAAGGAAGGAACGAGCTCGAAAAGAAAACCCAAGGAACTTGGTATGCTGTATCGTACTGTGCCAAATCCAAATCCAAACTCGAGACTGCGATATGCTTTACTATGCTCCCTCTGCTATTTATTGTAACATGCTTTCAACTTACTCACGTATTGAAAAAAAAAGGTTAGTTTTTCTATATTATTAAAAAATAACATATACTTTTATTTTTATTCTTTCCTTTAAATAATAATATAATTATATTAAATATCTTTACGTTAATCGCAAAATGATAAAATTAAAAAAATATTTTAATTATTATAAAGTATCTTATATTTTAAATTAAAAATTATTTTTAAAAGGCATCTTACAAATAAGGCCTAGGGGAGTACCCTTATATGCTAAGTAAAGTTACAGTTCAACAAAATCACTACAGACAAAAGGTATTGCAAAGCATGTGTGTCTTCATCCAATGAAACATGTAAAGAGAGGTATTGGTCACCAAAACACATCTGTGAAGTGGCAAAATATGTGAAACATAATGAAAGGCTCATGGTGAGGCCAATACAATTAGATTTAGTAAGATATTAGACATTAAGTACATGTAGATAAATCATGTGCTATGTGGAGATTTGGCGAGAGCTACTGGCCAAAAGAACGCACAATATCAATAAAGGAATGTAAGTAGCAAGTAAATGCATGCTAATGGCTTACCTAATGATGGAAGAAGTTGATTCATAAAGTGAGTTGTTCAAGGAATTGAAGGCAAAGTTTGTTGGACTAAGCTTTTTTTAGATTAAAAAAACAAGATCATTAGAGGTGAGGAAGAAAACATGTTTGAACCTATACTTGTTCTCTACATATTGGGTACACTATTGTATTTTCTTACAAAAGAAGGTTGTTAACCCAGGCATAATGGCAGAGCCTCGTTGGGGCCTCACATTGGGAAAAATTATAAGTGGGACATATAAAATTTACAACTTTACACCCCCTATTTTAATATTTTGCCCACTTTGAACTAAATAAAAAATAGTTAGGTTTAAAAACTTATTAGATATATAATATTTTAATAATTTAAATAAAATACGAAGAGCATATTTATAATAAAAGACCATATCAACTTATTCAATATAACTTTTTTAAAAAATGATATAAATATATTTATATTATTATAATTTTAATCATAGCATAATTATTACTATTTTTAAAAAAATAATAGTTTTTTATTAAATTAGTCCACACCCCCTGACTCAAAGTCCTAGCTCTGCCGCTACCCATGCATGGAATGAAAAGCATGATGAGGTTGTGAAGGAATTGGCAAGTGAAAAAGGAAGGAAAACTAGGAAGAGCACTTGTTGCTTTTGATAGACCTTTTGGTTGTATTTTGATATTTACTCATAGCCATCCCCCTCATTTATTTTTTATATAGGATAAGATGTAATTTAATATAGGCATGATATTGTTCTTACCCCTCATAGTATAGTGCTTGAAATAGGGTGCCCTATGCTTTTTGTTTATAGTTTTGTTTGTACGTAGTCGGAAGACAAACTAAAACTAAGGAAATCAATGCTTTTTCATTGAAAGTATTGTTGTTTTACCCTTGATGTATACTTGTTGTATAGAAAAAATTCAATTGTTATCCATATAAAAACTGTTAAATGAGCTTCATTTACAAGAAATATGGCTTGGTATAACTTGAAAAATACATAAGCTACGGGGTGTTGCTATAAGTGTTCTTGATCTTTCATGATAATTACCAATAATTATATGAAACCTTAACAAACGGTGGGCACATAAATGTCAATGTCCTTTTATTTCACAATAACTATGCAAAATAACATGAAAAACTAACTACAAGACAATACGTTAATGTAACTAGATTTAACTTTTCATAGAAACTCTAAAGAATAACATGAAAGTTAACAATTAAAGGGTGTATGTATGTCACATTGCTAACCTTTTCATGAAAGCTTTAAGACATACCATATAAAATTAACTATCAAGAGATATGTGTGAATATTTCATAGGAACTATGAATAATTTCATGAAAAATAAATAAACAAAGAGCATGTAAATGTCAATGCCCATATATTTCATAATAACAATCAAGCATGCCATGATAATGATCACTAAAGGTCAAAGCACATCAATGTGAGACATCATTTTCTCAAAGATTATGTGTAGGAGAAGGATATTATGATAGATTTTGTGCTAACAATTGAGCAAATAACATATATCTTGACTAAACCATTGACTGAAGAGCAATTCATTGTCTTGAGAAGAGAATTGGGAATGATAACTCCTAATGAATTATAATGTTTTCTTAATCCTTATACCTATGCTTAAATTTGAAGCCATCATTTAATTATTAATAAAAACTTAAGTATCAAAGTATCTAATGATGTGTATACAGGACCTCACCCCTAATCTTAAGTGTTAATAAGGTGAAATTGATCCAAGTAGTTAGTTCAAGTATGGACATGAGAGAATTATGCAAAACAAGCTTGGACAATAGTTAAACTAAATGTGATTAAACTCACCAAAAAAATTGGATTTGACCAACACCCTATTTTAAAGAAAAGCTCAACTCATGCATATAAGTCTTCCTTTTCATTCCCCATCCTTTTTTATAATGTCAAAGGGGAAGAGAAAGTTAGAGTTACCATAGAAAGGAGGAGAGGGAATATTAGTTAAACATTAAAACATATTAAAATAAATTCTAATATAAGGGTTTTAAGATTTTTTTTCAGTGAATATGTGGTCTTACTATTATGATTGCTTCACTCACCATTGTACGTTTTAGTTCGTTTTCCTTTAAACTTTCGTGCCAATTTAAAGGGGAGCTATTATACCATGACTTAAACTAAACCTTTGATTGAGGTCTTGTCATCATCAAAAAAGGAGAGAATGTTGAACAAAGTGTTTTGATGACAACAAAATCAAAAGAAAGGCATTTGTTACTTATGCAGATTGAATATCATAGATTAAATGACAAAACCTTAAGAAGAAAGAATGCACGTAAAGAACTCTTAATGAAATTATCTTAAACTTCTTGCACATGAAGAAATAGAAGGGAGCACGAGAAAGAAGAAAATCAATGTCATATTAAGCAAGCTACACTCAAGAAAATCAATGATCAAGAGAAGAAAATAGGTTATGTTTATTTTATTCTTCTTTTAGATAAATTTGTGAAAACTATTGAGAGCTTGAACATGAATTAAAGTAAGATTGCATCATATAGAAAGTCATAGGCTCATAAGTCCTTTAACGTTAAATCGTCTTATTTACATAAGGACAAGAAGTGTCCACACATGTTTGACACAAGTTTACATGCACTTATGATTCATATTGTTTTATTCACACTTGGACTATAAGTGTTCCACGTGCATTTGATCATCCTTTATGCATAGATGACTTAGAGGATCTTATTCAACTTGAAATGGGCCTTGTTTGAATTAGAGCATCAGAGGTGAAGACATAATGCTACATGCTAATTCATGC